GCTCCGGCGAGCAACAAGGAAGCCGCTCGGCCATGAATATGAATGGCCGGCTGGGTGGTGCAGTGGGCAGACTGAGCCGGGATGATGGGGGATCAAAGTCGGACAGTCTCCCTAGGGAGGCCCGCAGCGCACCGCTGGGTGCAGAGGCTGGCCTGAAAGTTAGATAAACACAGAAATGCCTGTTCTCCATCCCATGAACACAAGATCCCTCGGGTGGAAGACACTGCGGTGGCCTGGCGTCCAGGGGCCACTGGGATCCTGCTGCCCACAGCTGCCCATGTCTGAGGCTAACTGTCCTCTTGCAAAGCGCCCCTACCCCCACCCAGATGAACTCTGTTGTTTTTCCTTTTGCCACAGCAAGGTTGCATTTCAAAATGTGCAACAGAGAAATGTGTTGTGTTGCCTTTGGAAATAAAAGTTGTTACCACTGCAAAACATAACCTGGAGCGCACCTGCCTTTCAGCCACGAGTCCTCTGCCTTCCTGAGCTGCAAAGGCCTTAACGTCGGGGAGCTGGGAATTGTGCCGCGGTATACCACACCTCTCTCTGCTGCCCCTTAATTGGCAGTTGGTAAATACCCAAGGAAACACAAGGCAGGGCGTGTTTTTCTCCTCCTCTTGGCTGCTCCTTCCCCGGTTTCTCAGAGCTGGCAGCGTTTGGAAAGCAATTCCTTCACCTGGGAAAGGCCGGCTCTGCTAGGAGTGTGCTAGACAGAGCAGCCCTCCAAACTCCACCGCTGTGTTTCCTGCACCCCATCCTGATGGGCCCACCTCCCGAGGCTGCTCACACCCAGGCTCACTCCCACCGCTGGGATGAGAACCTGTATTGATGTTACTATAGCAACCCTTCCCCGCCTCTGTGAGCTGCAGCTTGCCCCTGTTCACAATTGAATAATTTTCCATTGAGCTGTCACGGCTAATTGGGGATTTTTATTAGCCTTTTAGAATCACACTGGGCTGGGCCCAGCTTGGCACCTCAGGGCAGTTCGGTGTGTTTCCTGGTCTATAAGTGACTTGCTTTCACCGGTAACAGCTCTCAGTCCCGGGCAGCCTGAACGCCACTTCATTAGGTGGTGACAGATGGGAGCCACAGAGCATGGAGCTGACTGGCAGTGAGGGGGGAGAGGAACCCAGGAGCTGGAGCTTCACCGGATGTCAGAAACGGGGCTGACGCAGAAGCGAGGGCTCCCCAATTCCCTGGATACGGACCCTGGGTTTTAGGGTGCTGGGGCGGGGGACAAGAGAGTGACACTCCCATCTGGAGGGCACATGACAACTCTGGCATGATTCAGCAAGCCACCTGCAAAGGGGTGCTGTCACCACCTGCAGATGTGACATTTGATGGGGGGGGGGTCATCATCTGTTGGCTAATGAGGCAAAACACACGACCCTTAAACGCAGGGGTGAAAGGTTAGGAGAACAAGCCTCAGTTAGTCAAGGAAAGAACGACTAGGCCCAAAGGCAAGCAGGCTCCCATTGTTTCTCACCCCGGGGTGTGTTCGCACCCACTCTAAGGGAGGGTGGGAGCCAGAACAGGCCCTGGTGGCAGGCGGCTTACAAGTTAGACTAACCGCAAGGTCAGTGGTTCAAAACCACCAGCTGCTCTGTTAGCGAAAGACAAGGCTTTCTACTCCTGTAGGTGGGCAGACTGAGAAACCCACAGGGGGCAAACGGACTGGATGGCAGTGAGCGTGGGAACCGATCAACCGCTCCCTCAGTTCCTCCCCATCCACAAAGCAGCCAGAGAACTGCCCAGGGAAACCCACAGGCGTGGGGCAGAGCGGGGTGCCTGGGATCACCCACACTCCCACAGAGCCCCTACCCAAGGGCACTCAGGTATAGCACCTCCTGTGTGTCTGACACACTCTTAGGGTCCAATGTAGCAGGATCACATTACCCTCCAAGGGGAAAGCAGGGTTCCAGGCGAGGGGGGTGGGGAACCCTTCCAAGGAGTGTACACACACTGTCACTGTCATGACAGAAATTAACAACAAAGCCACCCTTCCCAGTTTGCTTGTACATTTGAGCTCAATAATGCTGAAACTCAGATCAAAACCGTTAGGGGCATTGATCTGTTAAATCAAGTCCCGCTGTCTTTGGCTAAGTTTAGTCTTGAACCCCCTGGACCACTCCAGATCAACCCCGCCTGTTTCTGCCAAGGACTTGGGGGCCCCTCACGCCAGCCCCCTTGCTCTCTGGTGAGGAGGGCTGTGCTCCGGATTAGCAGAGGTGAGATTTGTAGCATGCCCACTTTGGGAGTGGAGCTCCCTAAGCAGCTCTCACCACCTCACCTGGCAGCTTCACGCTTCAAGCCCACAGCACCACCACCACCACCCCGGCCCCCAGGAACTGCGTGGATCCATCTGCTCTGTGTGCTTCAAGACAAAAAAGCCCTCATTTTGGGGGTAAAGGCCCTTAACAGTTTAAAAGGGAAGAGGATGCCTTTTCTCGATACTTTCTTGAAATGTTTAAATAAAAAAAAAAAAAAAGAAGGGGGTGCCTCTGGGGACGCCCCGTCACAGGTAGTGGCTGTAGGAGACGCACCAATGGCAGAGGTGCTGAAGACAGACGTCCTTGAAGATGCTCACCCCATCAAGGTGCTGCAATTATGGAACGGTCTCCTAGTCTCCCGGGGCTTCCCTGATGATGTCATGGACACCCCTAGACTGAGAGGCCTGGCCCACATATTAGAACAAGGACAGGTACTGACAGCGCACACTAGGATTATTCTGCCCAGCCCCTCCTAAGATCTTCTGTAGCAAGGCAGTGTTTAGAAGTGGATTCCCCAGAGCGCCCAATGCTGGGACACATCCTGTGACATCCCACACACGGCTGTTCCAGCTGTCACTCTTGGCTTGTTCTCTTTCTGTTGCCAAGGCACAGAGCTCTGCGGGTCATGTTGTGGCTGTCACCAGCCTAGCGCTGTGGGCTAGAGAACCACACAGGCCTGGGGCGGGCCATGTGCTGTGTGGCTCTGGGCAAGCTGCTTCACATCTGAGCATCAGCTTCCTCATCCATCCGATGAGGCAGCAGCAAACTGCCTGGCAGAGGAGAGTGATAATCATGAAGCCTGCCGGCCCTGCTGAAAGTACTCAGACAGGGCCTGGTACTTTCAGAAAACGGTCTCTGAAATTTACATCCCGATTCTGCATCCATCGCCCGTGTGGCTTGATGAATTCTCACCAAGCGATACGCCCATCAGCCAACACAACCCAGATGAAGAATCAGAACATGATTTATCCCGAGTCCCCTTATGCCCCAACCTGGCCTGGCCCTCCTGCACCGAGCTCCCTCCAGCCCGACTTGACCACCACAGATGAGCTGTGTTTGCCTGAATGCATGGAAGCTGACAGCCCTACTGTCTGACTGCTTTTTGCCCAACATGTGAGATTCACCCATATTGTCACACGCAGCAATAGATTGCTCGTTCTTTTCGCTGCAGAATATCTCACTGCGTGAAGTCATGTGTCCTCTTTGAAGAGCTGGATAGCTCTCAGGTTTGTAATCGACAGACTTCTGGACTCTTCCCTAGGGGTGACCACAGCATCAGAAGTAACCTGCTGACCCTTTGGGCAGACGTGGGTCAGGATTCAGAAAGATCTAGGAAACTGTTGGCAGGGTGCCTGCATGCATGCCTTTTTCTGGAGCCAGGAGCGCCACACCTGTCAGTGGGGTTTCAAGGGGTCTGCTACCTAAAAGAGAATGGTTAGTTCCTGCCAAGTGTCCCAAGCTCAGTTGACATGCAGGAAGGGTGCTTATTTGGGAGAAAGGGAATTCACCTTACGCCCAGTGGGGTCCAGGACATCATGCTGGGCCAAGCAGAGTCCGTGAAAAATGAAGACCCTCACGTAGACGGAATGACACAGTGGCTACGGCACTGGGTTCAAGTGTAAGCACAGGGAGGGTGGCGCAGAGCCAGCACTGAGTGCTCCTTCGGTTGTGCATGGCTCTTTAGGATCAGGGACTGACCCATTGGCACACCACCACACGTCCACTGCATGGCTCCCAAGGTGGCAGAAGTCACGTGTGGCCCAAGATGTGGGTGTTCACTCTGGACAAGCTGCCGCCCTGCTGAGCCTTGGGAACTGGGCTACCGCAGGATGGCGGGCTGCTGCAGGTACCTGCCACTAGTCATTCTGGTCTTCTTCCAGACTTGGGCATGGTCACTCTTAGAAAGCCCCTCCCTTCACCAGGAGAAAATCCCGAAATAAACTTGGGAGCTCAGGCATTCAGCTGTGGTTCAACTACGAGTGGGGTGACAGGCCAGGGAGGCCGATCCAGTCTCTCGTGCTGCCCTCGTCCTGGGCTGGCCTTTCATCCATGGCCCGGTGCTCGGCACTGCTCTCCAAGGCGCCTGGGAAGGAGTCTCACTGCCGCGGGGCTCGTCCACATCCTCTAATGAGCATGAGCTGTGTCCTTTGACAAGTCTGCCGGCTTCCCAACTTCCCCTCTCCGGGTTGTCAGCTGGCACCAAGTGGAGACCACGCCGAGGAGGAGGGTGTACGCCCCACCCGACAGCCCCGTGGCATGTCCGGCCCCTCACGGGCAGACAGAGCTCGGCAACGAGACGCTGTGCCTCAAGCCCGTGAGGGAGGGGTGCCTTGGGGCTGAGCACGGCAACAGGAACCGGGTTCACAGGAAAAGGTGGGGGAAATGGGCTTCTGGAGGAAATGAATGCTTTCAGCCCCAGGAGGCATCGAGAACATTCTCTGCCTTGCCGTGGCCAGGTCACTGACAGCCCGTGTGGCCAGGACAGAAGGCCCAGGGCCATCACAAGGGCCTGAGCTCAGAGCAAGGAGACGGCTTTCCAAGTGGCAGCTGATGACACAGGATACCTGGGGACTCCGGGCAGCATGGCGAGCCGGGAAGCTCCTGCCCCATCCCTGCCCCTTTCTCCTGTTCGGCATCAGCAAGGTCAGGGAAACAAGACCTCAGCCCTCAGCTGTGGGTGCAATGGCTCGGGGTGATGGATGAGTCAGGTCCAAAGCATGTGCTACGGAGTACAATGTTGTAAACATTTATTTATTTAAAAAATACTACAGAGGAGAGAGTTTGAGATTCAAAAACCACAGTCATATACAGAAACAAAATGTACTGGACCAAAAAGAAGGGGAAAAAAGCAAGCAAGACACCATTGGCACTCCCAAAGGCAGGGCAGTAGGAAACTATTTACATGCCATTTATAAAAGAGGAAGTCTATAAAAGAGTGTAATACCAAGATATAAATGCAAACTATAGTGGCACATCATGTTCGTGAGCCCGGTGCCCATATCCCATCGGGAGGCAGCGTGGGGCAGGCTTGCTCTACTAATCAAAGCTGCTGATGGGATTCTAGCACCCCCCTCAGACTGGGGCAGTGGGGGTGGCAGAGAGGGGTGTGCTTTGAGGGGGGCGGAGGATCCAGTAAAATTCTGGTTTTGGGGAAAAAGGCTGACATCGGGCTGAGCACCAAGCACAGGCGGCCGGGCAGCAGGAAGGGGCTTCCTTCAGGTTTCTCGGAGGACAGTTTCTGGGTGCAGCTGAGAGGCCCGGGTGGGTGTCTGCCTGCTCTTCAACTAGCTTCTCTGCCTCCTGGTCAACAAAACTAGGGGCCCTGCCTCATGAGTCACAGTCTTTGCACCTCAACGCTGCTCCTGGGTAGCCCTGGGGGAAATGCAAGCCACCGACCCCCACAGCCTGCCCCTGCCCCCAGAGCATTCGGCTAAGCGAAGCTCGTGGTAATAGACTAGCAGGCATCTGTCCACCCGAGTGCAGCCGCCACAGCCAGGGCCTGAGGCCCACAGTTCCTCCCCCTCCCCTCTGTGTGCCGGTGCCTGATGGTGCCTCCTTCCTCGACCGTTGAGAGGAGAACTCTGAAATGCTTCCAGGATGCCCGACAGCCTGTCCTGTCGTGAAGGAGTGGGTCTGGCAAGAATCTCTTTGTCCCAGAGGAGTGGAGAAAGGGACAGGAGGGCAGGTCTGAAACGGGGGCCTTTCCGGGGCACTTGGCAATGTGAACGGATGGTAACCCAAAGCCACTGTGGCTCTGTGACACTGGCCCCGGCTACCTCAGCACCAGATTGCCACCTGCCCCCGCCTGCTGTGGGCTCTGGGGCAACAGCAAGCACACCACCCTCAGGACTAACGCTGTCTGCTGGTCACAGGGAACCCGCAAGGTGGCGAGAAAGGCCAACAAGAGCACTGCCCCATGACTGTCCCCATGGGCCTCCCCACCTGTTGCCTGGACCCTAAGGCTGGCTTGTTCTCCTACCCACCCTGTATGCCCCAAACCGAGCGCACGCCTGCAGACAAGGGAGCAGGGCCCTCCCTGGCCCTCAGACCCCAGTGAAGGGGCAGCAATGACCACGTGGCTGGGCACCCCTTTATTCAGGAATGTCGTTTTTGAAATGTGTCGCACCGGATGAGGGTCAACTTTGGGGAACAGAGGAGACTAATCTCAAGGCCTTGGTGATGAGGCTCAAGTTCAGGGGGAGACAGTGAGGAACGTGAGTGGGATGTGTGGAGGGGAAAAACAGCCAGAGACAGAAATAAAGACAGACCCCTTATCTGCCATTCCAACTTGCCCTGACAAGCTCAGTGCACAAGCAGAATGTGCGGAAGAGCCTGCCGGGGGCTGGCGTGCTGACATCAGTCCACAGGCACGGTGCGGGGGCAGAGCAGCTCAGCGGCGGCTCATGCACACACAGGTAGTAGGGCTGTGCCCATGGCGACCTCTCAGCCCGCCGTACACAGTGCCTGGGGCCAAGGTCCCGCTTCACCGGGCCTTTTGCTGTCACCGTCCCGGGCCCGGGCAGCCCTCGAGACTTCAGCTGGCAGAACACCTGGCTTCTGCTACCTCTGCACGATGTCATTGATTTCTTTGACTGAGCTGAGGAGTTTGCTAAAGTCCTGAGTGGCGGCCGGGCCACTTGCGGCCGTCGCCGGGCAGATCTGCAGCTCCCGGAGGCTGCTCTCCAGTTTGTTAATGGCCTCTCGGAAGGCAAACTTGTTCCTCATCTGCTGGATGGAATCCACGTAGCTCACGCAGAAGGTGTAGAGGTTCTTGCCCGCCTCCAGCACGGCGCTGTGGCTAGCCATCTGCTCCGAGTGCCTGGAGATGGCCAGGCACAGGGCGTGGGTGCTGTCCAGGACCGCGCCCTTGGTGATGGTGCCGCTGGCGATGCGCTCAGGAAGCTGCCTGGTCTTCCGCAGGGAGACGCGTGTGGAGATGAGGGGGATGAAGGCCGTGGAAGACTGCTGTTCCCCTCCAAGGGACGAGGGGGCTGCTGGCGGCGCCGAGGGCGCAGGGGTGGGGCAGGCCGGGGTCCCCGGTGGCTTGGCGGGAGACTGTGGCTTTGGTACGCACGGGAGCACTGGCTTCCTGATGCCCTCCCCCAGCTGGCTTGGCCTGGCCCCCTCACTGGCCCCGCTGTCCACGCCCAGAGCTGGGGGCTTTGCTTTCACCCCGGCTCCCAGCTCCCCGGCAGCTTCGTGGCTCGGGCTCTGAGAGGCCTTTCCGGCCTTGCCCCCCCCAGCCGGGGGTGGAGGCGGCGGTGCCGGCTTCAGCTTGGACAGCTTCCCCTTGTCCCTCCCTGGTGACTCGGAGGCGTGCTTGTGCCGCCTGACTCTGGGCTCCTCCGCGGGCGGCTTGCTGGCACCGCTGCACGCGCCTGCCCCTGCTCGGCTGGCGGCGGGCACTGGCTCAGCTGTGACGGGGGTCCCGGTCCCTAAGGCACTGGCCTTCCCAGCCTCTTCCCTGTGGGGAAGGCCAGAGGCAGGGGCTGCCATGACCTGTCGGCGGACGAGTTTCGGGGTCAGACTGGGAGGACTGGAGCCCGGGCTGGCTTCCGCCGTGTCTCTGAAGACTTCATCCGCGGCCTCCTCGTTCTTCTTCACCAGTCGGGGCGGGGGGGTCACCGTGCCCCTGCTCACCTGCTCAGGCCTGTTCTCACTGGCCCGCTTCCGAGGCAGCGCTGGCTTCTCACTCTTGTGGCCCCCAAACGTGGACGAGTCAAACTGCCTTCCCGTGGACTGCAGATCCCGAGGCAGCGTGACGGACCTCCACTCGGTGTCCTGGGCCCCGTGGGGCACGCAGGAGGCCGAGCAGGACCGCAGGAAGCGCTTGCTGGAACTGCCGCCGCTCTCCTCTGCGCTGGCTCCCAGCCGGCTGCTGGTCAGTGTGCTGGACTTCTTCCACAGGTGAGGGGACCGGAAGGCTCCGTTGGGGACACCGGCCCCGTTGCTGGGCTTTGGGGACTTGCTGGGCTCGGCGGCATCGGAGGGCGGGAGAGCCAGCGCCCCGTTGCTGACTTCTCGGCCGTCTTCCTCCCCGGGTGCCTTGCGCTCGGGCGGCCCGTCCATCTCCCGGAAGGAGCTGCTGCGTTTGGGTGGGGTCGGGGCTGTCTTTTTCTTCTTCTTGATTAAGGCGCTGAACAAGTTGGTTTTCTTGTCTTTGGGGAGAAGCCGCTCGTCCTCACTCAGGCCAGCCTCCGGGGGGCCTCGCTCTTTGCGAGGGAGCAAGGGAGACACAGCGGGCTCGTGGTCCGGAGCGTCTGAAAAACAGCAGAGCGAGATGAAGGACGCCAGACCCAAGGACCCCCGCAGGGACACTCCAACTGGCCAGTACACCGCCTGCCCAAGACAAGGTTACGCGTCGGGCTCCAAGCCCTCCAAGTCCCAGACAAGCTCCTTGCCCTGCTCTCTGTGCTGGCTTTCCCGTCTATCCCGCGGGGCATCAGTCTACCACAGGAGCACGTGTGGCACAGCTGCTGGCACACCACCACCACCCGGTAAGCGAAGCTGCCGCTAGTATCCTTCCTTGCGGGCCACTCGCCGAGGGCAGGGGAACGAAAAGCCAGATGGCCTTGACCTCCCTGACCTCCGCTAATTCACTCAGGATGGACACAGTGGCTGAAAAGTGGGCTCAGGCACAGGGTGGCTGTCGGCTGGAATCGACTCGGGGGAACCTAGCAGCAACAACTCACTGCAGTGCGGCACAGCCCTCCCCCTCTCAACACGGGTGTCCGGTGAATGAGACACAAGGACCAGGCCACGCAAAGGATCGGAAAAGGTGCTCTGCCTGCTGGAGGCGCCGACAAAGCATCATGGGGAGGGAAGGAGCGGTCTTGTCCATGGCAGCAGCCACAGTGGGTTGCGTTATGCTTGGGGATCAAAGAGGGAGGATGACCTCTGAACATGTTAAAATGGGGACTCTGACCAAGCGTGGCAGGCAGGGCGCCGGGTCGGGGACAGCTGAATGCCAACATTCCTCCCAGGGAAGCCTGCGAGAAAGTGCCACAGAGGGTGGAGTAGCTGAGTGACATTCCCGGCTCTCAGGGGAATGCTGACAGCCATCAACGAACATGACGGCTTTTAATGAGCACAGGCCTTCCGTAGCTGCCCTTCTCCACCTGGCATCAGGATGACGCCATAGCCCATGGAGGGCAGGGTTCTGGAGTGAACCAGCCCGGCCCATGGGTGAAGTGAGATCACCCAGAGGGGTGTCAAAAGGACATACAATGATGTAGAGTGATTTCTTATGCAAGTCTTTGACATGTACTTTTCTGGGTGTGTTTCATAATACAATCACGTCCCCCATAAGTGCCCCGCCCCCCCACGCCCAGGGATGTCTATGATATTGAAAGTCTGAGGCAGACCCAGCACGGGCTCATGATCATAAACCACTGCCACTCTGCCATGGACCTCAAAACACGAGGACTGTAACATGACGTTCTACGTGCTTTAGCGATCTAGAATGGTTTCTTTAATGTGCCCTTAAAAGAATATACAACAGTACAGCATATGTACACTAAGACAAACAATGGTAGATACTAACTCTATACTGCTGTGACCTACCTACAAATTCTACTAACACATCCATACCTCCGGGGCTGCCTGCATGTATGGTGCTCAGATCATGTCCAGACCACGTGTCTTAAGGAATACATGATGGATGTGAAAGGATGCATGATGGTCTACGTATTCCTCCCCACCTCCACCGTCTGCGGTTCGTTAGCATCCAGTCCACTGTCAGCCTCCCTGGAGAGCCTTTACGAACCAAGGCTGGGCCCCACCTCCCAATGCTTTTACTCAGCTGGTCTGAAGTAGAACCCCGACTTCTGGTTTTGGGGGACCACCACTGTGGCAGGGTAGCTGAACTGAGCACGGAGCCTGGCACGCAGGAGGCACTGCATCGGTTCCAGGCAGGATGACTAGTGACAGGAGCCTGAGACCCTTGCTCGCTGGGGGACAGCCCCGCGAAGGCACGCATTGCCAGAAGCCACGGGAGGCCGCTAGCTCACAGACTCACAGGGCTCTCTGGGCTCCAGGCAGACCCTGTGGGGTTTTCAGTACCAGGGCCTTCACAACAAGCTGCTCTTCTGTCTGGTTCAATCTTTATTTTTGTTGTATTTGCCCTGGAAGAGCGACCACAAAATGCTTTGAATAATAGATGAAATGGTTTCTCAGCAGGTTTCTTGAGCACCTCTGCCTGTTTGACCAAACCGACGGCTGAAGCGAGTGGACCCCAGGCGAGTCCCAGGAGTAGGGAGAGAGGTGGGGGGGTGTCTGTGTACCTTCCTCCTCCTGAAAGCAGGCAGGGGCCTGGGCCTGCTCTTCCCTGCAGCTCCCACTGCCTGCTTTCCCTTGCCCACACTGGCCCTGGTGGTAGGGGGAGGGGGGATAGGGAGGACAGGGGGGAGCCGAGGCAGGCAGGTGGAGGAGCCGTACCGCTGTCTCCCTGGCCCTTGGAGTGGGTGGTCTCGGGCACGTCGGTGGCGTCCTTGTGCTCGGCGGCTCTCCGGGAGGTCCTGGTCTTGGTGGGCAGCTCCGGGGCCTGCAGCAGAGAGCCTGCAACGCCTCGCACGCCCTTCTTCCCCAGCTCCTTTTCCACTTCTAAGACACACACAAAAACCCCAGAAGCCATCAGAAATGCTGTTTTGTTCCCCCCCCCCGCCCCCCAGGATAATGGGGGGTCATCTATACACAGCTGCTGAAGAACTAGCACGTAGCTTCCAGAAGCACTCCATGTGATTCTGAAAGGCAGAGAACTCAACCTTCAACCCCTCGGGGCAGCCGTCTGCTCTCGGGTAACTTGCTTCCCTCCACTCGGTAGAAACTGAGATGTGAACTAACGGCCCCACACGGGCAGGTCCCCCTCCTATGCCCACCTGCCACCCCACCGCAGAAAGCACCCTGGGGAAGCTAACTCACCATCGGAGATGCTGGATTCCTGGAACATGGTTTCGAAGGCCTGGTGGATTTCTGCAAAGGAGGGCCGGTCAGAGGGGTTCCACTGCCAACCTAGCGAGAGGGGAGCACAATCACCACCACGAGCGCTGGCTCTCCCCGCTTAGGGCGGCAACTCTCAAGGAGAGGTCTGACATTAAAGCAGCGTTCCACTCTCACTAAGCATCTTTTGGCGTGACAGGTTAAAAGTGGCAGGTGCCAAAAAAAAAAAAAAAGTGTCAGGTGCCACCTGTCCTGGTGGACATGAGAAGCTCATAGGAATATGGCTTGTCGGGCTCCAGAGAGACGGCTGACGGCAGGAGCTACATCTGCAGGGGCATCGTCCCTCCATTCCGCTCTCAACTCTCCACGGAGGAGGCTCAAACTGCAGGCCTGTGATGAGCAGCCCAACACCACTGCTACGCCCCCGGGGCTCTTGGAGTTGGGCAGAGAAACCTCCTTGATGATCAAAGCCTGAGAGCCTCAAGGGGAAGACATGCTAATGAACACCACACTGAGATGACTAAGCGTTGGTGAGGACACAGAGGAAGTCACTCATACTTGGGATAGGAGTACAAGTTGGTGAGATGTTTTTTGGAACATAATTTGGTAAAAATCTATCAAAACGTAAACTACAGAGAGCCCTCTGAAGCTGTGACTCAGCATTTAGGAACAC